TCTGAGAGGTGACAGGATGCCATCAGAAGGGCAGGTCCTGGGACAGAAGCCAGGGGGGCACTGCTACTGTGGAGGGCACTGCAGGAAGCCAGGCCACCACGGACCCGCCTGGGAACCAAGGGCAGCAGGTTACTGTCAACTGACACTTGTTTCTGTTCCTTTATGTTTCTCCCTCTCCTCTGCTCCAGACCATTGGAGACTCTCAAATTGGAGAAATAAAAGGAAGAGAGGCTCGACCCTTCTCCTCCACTGCAGACTGCCCCGTCTAAGGGGGGCCAGAGTGGTGAGAGGACAGAAGCATTAATGGGTCAGAGGTGGCTAGACTGGAATTTTTGGTTTGCGTTTTGGTTTTTGCTTTCTTCTCATTTTCCTTCTTTTATTTTGTTGTCATTGTCTAAGATTAAAGTTGTTGTTACTAAGTTAACAAAATAAAGCCATGGTATCTTCCTGAAAGTTCTAAAAGGTGAGAACCATGAGACCAGTAACCAGATTTGCAGGGGCAGTGAGGAAAAATCATGCTGCTTTCTGCGTATCTCCCAGAGCCCAAGTCATTCCAGAAACACTAGTGAGACATCAGGAACGTTCCAAGAAAGATGAAGCCATTATATTTGGACCTTATGACTATTTTATGAAAAGTCAAAAGTAAGACTTTTTTGTTCTTTGAAAGAATTGTGGCCCTCCCTGCCCTGAAGTCCAGAGTGGCTGAGCTCATCCAAAAGGCAGGCTGGCCCAAGCACCTCTCAGCATGGTACCTGGGTGAGATTTTAAATGAGTTTCCCAGGGTGCTTCTCTGTCTTGCTCTGGCAAAGATGACTTGGCCAATCAGCGCTTCATTCTCTAAACAGCCTTCACACTTTCTCATGATTTTTTAGTGCATTGGTCTCTGCATTGTCATACAATCTTTGTTTTATTGGCATTTTTAAAACTTGTGTTTTGGATTCAGAGGGTATACATGCGTGTTTGTTACATGGATATATTGCATAATGGTGAGGATTGGGCTTCTAGTACACCCACCCCCCAAATATTGAACTTTGTATTCAATAGGTAATATTTCAGCTGTAGTCTTCCTGCCACCCTTTTCCCTTTTGGAACCTCCTGTGTCTATTATTTTCATCCTTATATTCATGTGTCCCCGTTGTTTAGCTCCCACTTAGAAGTGAGAACATGCAGTATTTAGTTTTCTGCTTCTGCATTAATTTGCTCAGGATAATAGCCTCCAGCTCCATCTATGTTACTGCGAAGGACATGACTTCATTCTTTTTAATCGCTGCATAAAATTCCGTGGTGTATGTATTAATATATTACATTTTCTTTAAACAGTCAACCACTGATGGACAGTTAGGTTGGTTCATGACTTTGCCATTGTGAATGGTGCTGCAATAAGCATACAACTGCGGGTTTCTTTTTTAAGAGTAAAATAAACCCAACATATCTAGAACCTAAAAGTGAGTTAGAAATTATGCACATAATAAAGTGACCCCAAGAAGAGTATTTACAAGATAGAGAAAGGACACAGAGGTGGAAGGTGGGTGGGTGGGAGAGGGGATGCTAAGGCTCCCAGAGGAGGTGGCATCTAGATTTGAATGACAAAAAGCCACAACAAGACTAAATGTTAGGATATAATACTTACTGGGGGCTATGTTGTAGGCACTGTCCAAAATTGTTTACATGTATTAACTTATTTAATTCTCACAGTTCAGATACTTTTATTCATACTCCCATTTTACAGATAACAATGAGACACTCGGGGTTTAAGAAACGTGTTCAAGGTGCCAAGCTTACAGAGCTGGTTTGCAGACTCAGGCTGTCCCACCCTAATATCATTCTGCTAGAATGACAAGCAAGAGCTTGTTGGGTGGGTTAAGAGGGAACTCCAAGTGCAGAGGCACAGATACCTGTGGCTACGTGGTGTTTCTGAGAAGTTGCATGCTGAGTGTATCAGTAGTGATAAAATGACCAGTTTGGGTGAAGGAAGAGGAGAGAAGACTGGCATGAGTTGCTGGCCAGGTAAGCTGGCAGCAGATTATGAAGGCTGCCATTTTGTATACCATGCTAGGGAATGTTAGCCTGTAGGAGGAGATGGGGAGAGCGGCATTTTAGACAGGTCATTTGGCTACTGGATGAAGATTGGAGAGAGGTGACAAAACAAGAGCCAGGGAGGCTAGTTTAGAAGCTTTTACAATATCCAGGTGAACAAGGCAAGGACTAAGGTTGTGGTGGAACAGAAGAAAAGGTGATGGAGTTTGGTAGATATTTAGGGGTAGGTTGGACAAATTTGCTTAGTTGATGAAGGAGAAGAAGGGGCTTAAAATGGGTTTTCAGCTTACACTGCTGCTAATTAGGGGACCCAGAAAGGCTGACAGTGAAGATGTTGAACTCTGTTTGGAAGATGTCCAACTCTGTTGGATATATGATGCCTAGTAACTCTTAAGGGCACTGGTAAAATAAATATGTGTTGACCTTAGCAGAGTGTTTGCTGTAGACATACATAAGAATGGTTGTAAAGACAAGATCCACATAATCAATACTCTTATTTAAAATCGCAAAATTTAAGGCCAGGAGTGGTGGTCCTGTAGTGCCAGGACTTTGGGAGGCTGAGGCAGGCGGATCCCTTGAGCTCGGGAGTTCGATACCAGCCTGGGCAACATGGCAAAACCCAGTCTCTGCAAAAAATACACAAATTAGCCAGGTGTGGTGTTACATGCCTGTAGTCCCAGATACTTGGGAGGCAGAGATGGAGGCAGAAGTGGGAGGATTTCTTGAGCCCAGGAAGCAGCAGTTGCAATGAGCCAATTATACCCCTGAACTCCAGCCTGTGTGTGATAGAGTGAGACCGTATCTTTCTCTTTCTTTCTCTCTCTCTCTCTCTCACACACACACACACAAACACACACACACAATAAACCTAAATAAAATAAAATCACAAAATTTTAAAAGCTAATATTGTCTTATGAGTATTCTCTCTTCACTCTTTTTAATTCTACTGTATATTCATATATGATTTTTTAATTCTGTGTAGATTATGTCAGTGCTATTCATAGCCACCTTTATACATTATTCTTCTTAGTCTACTGGTATTCATCATATTAGGACAATGTTAGTTTACAAATCTAACTCTTTTGAAATATAACATTAAATATATTAGCAGATATTACTAAGTTTTGCTACATTTCCTGTATGTTGCATGTACCCAAATATATTAGTCACAAATACACGCAAAAAATCAAATGGTTTCTTTATAATTTCAAGAAGTCCAAACTAAACTGTAAGTTTTGCATAGCAGTGTTGAAAATGAGATTTTTAAATGCTAGAAGTAAGATGTCTGATTCTTCACTATCTATACAGCCTTGTGTTGATGTTTGCGCATTTGGATGAGCAAACCCCTCCTTCAGTCATTACAGACTGGTTTTGGTAGGTAAAGAATTTTTGGGGGGGGTCTCTGAGCTGTTAAGATTGCCTCCAGGATTGCAATTGAGTAGGGTTGCAGCCAAGTTACGTGGCTGCTGCTGGGTCTACAGTGGGAAACGTGCTAGTGGGCTATTCCTAAGGACTTGAGCAGGCTTGGATCCTGTCTGGCCCCTGGAAAGAATAAACTGCTTCCTGGACCTTGGTCTGTAGAGTTGGTGCTGGGTAAAGAATGTACTTCAGGCTTCACATTTGGGTTGGCAGATGGTGGGCCTGTTACCAGGTACACAGATGAGTGTGTATTCCTTCAGGTCCCTTGGAGTGTTCCTGCTGGGCTACTGAGTTGGTCCCTGGGCAAGGAGAATTGGCCAGGGACCATGGCTGACAGGGGCTTGAATGGAATTACAGGGCTGTTTCATGGCTTACACTGAGACTAGAGTCTGCAGACCTGCCTCCAGAGACACAGACAGGCATGCTTCCTGCTGGGCTCCTGGACCATGGCTGAGTGAACTGAGTAGTCAAAGGGCTACTTGTGCTTCTCCATCAGACTGAGGTCAGCAACCTGCACTGATGGGCTTTTTCCTGGCAGATCTCTGGGTGGACAGGACAGCTTCTAAACCAAGGCTAGGAAGGGACAGAGCTAGGTTGCAGGGCCACCCCAAGATCCGCAGTGGAATCAAGATTGGTGGGCCTACCTTTGGGGCACTGACAGGCATGGCTTTCAGCAAGCCCCTGGGTGGGCAAGACTGCTCTCAGACTGCAGCTGAGAGGGGATGGGGCCAAATTAAAGGGCTATTTCAGCTATTTCAAGATCTGCGGTGAGACTGAGGTCAGCTGACTTGTTTCCAAGGGCACAGATAGGAATGACTCCCAGCAGGTGCCTGGGCAGGCAGGACTGGTCTCAAACTGCAGTTGAGAGTGGGTGTAGTTGGGTTACAGAGCTGTTTCATGGTCCACACCTGAGACTGAGGCCCATGGGCCTGCCACCAGAAGCACAGGTTAAGTGATTCCTCCTGGATTTCTTGGCAGATGGTTCTCATGGCAGGACCAAGTCCAAACAGGGTTGTAGCCAAGTTCACAGGAGGACGAAGCCTGTAGCTGGGACTGTGGTCAGTGAGCCTGCCACCTAGGTGCAGCCTACCACTCAAAACAGCCCTCTTCAGTCTCGGGCTCCACCAGGGCTTTGGGATCTTCTATCCAGGGGTTTAAGAAACGTGCCCTCCCCCCAGGGCACTTTTGTCCATGGATGAGTGCCCAATTCTTTTTGAGCGTAAGTTCTCCTATTCTTCCATCTTGCTCTTTACTATTGTAATTTGCATGGCTGATAGAGTAACTGATCATGCTTTGTGTTTTATAGGATAACACGTGCTACATAGTGCATGATACTTTTTAGCATATATTTCAATAAAAAGTTGCTTATTAAAATTGTATGTGAGTTATAAAAATAAAATAACTTCACAAAACAGTAGCTTAAAAGATGAAATGTTTTCTATTGGTGTCTAATTTATGCTGGGTCTTTAATTTAGTGTTAGTGCCTAATTTTTAATGTCTAGTGTCTAATTAATTTTTAATTATGCTTTTTTTTTTGTCCACAGCAATTCTTTGAGGTAGAAGAAGAGAAGGTTTCTTTGCAAGATGCGAGTAGTGTCAAAACAAGTATTTTGTTAAGAAAACTGAAAGAGAAAGAAGACATTATTAAAGAATTAAAAGAAGAACTAGACCAATATGAAGATTTTGGATTTCATAAAATGGTAAGTTTCAAGGCAAGGAATAATTAATTTAATACATGTAATAAAGTCATAAATAGTTAAAAGCTTGGGTTAAGGGTAAATTAAAATCCAGTTGATGCATTTGGGCATTTCTCCATAATATAAGCTGGTTTAACTATTTTCTGCTCAATGGTCTATTCTAGAAAACCCATAACAATATGAATAGGAGCAATATAATGGTTCTCAATTTTTATTTATAATGGAAATAAAATAAACTACCTGCCACTGCAAAAAATGTCCTACTTTAGAAGAGCATGGGAATGGACTTTTATTGTAACGAAAGATTCCCACCCTTCTTTGCAGTCAAGGTAGTTTGAAAGACACAAAGCTAATCTTTCCAAGCCAGAGCTTCCAAGAAGCTAGCTTGGAACAGAATGACATTTAAAGAAAACTATCAAGAAGAAAAATCTCAGAGGATTTTCCTCCTCAGTTCTCCCTGTTGCAGTGGGAACCCAGGGCTGCTTTACTGGCTAGAAAAACTACTGATGGGAGCAAAAATGGAATGAGTGAGGAGGCAGAAAGAAAAATCTAAACTCATCAAGGAAGAAGTTTAAGGGCTTTGGAAAGTGGGGATCCTGAGAGCGAATTCATTTTCGTCCCATCTCTGCTCCAAGCCACCAGCTGTCTCAGTCCCAGCCATGGTTCAGAGCTGGAGAGGATTTTGTTATTAAGTTCTAAGAGCAAGAAGCTGGTTGTTTTGATTTGGAAAGGCTAACAGACGTTGGGACTCAGGAAGAATAAAGTCTATTGATTACCAATAGCAGGTATCAGATGCTTCATCGATGGCATCTCTTCTTATTCTCACAGCTCAGTTTACAGATGAAAAAGCAGAGATGGGGTGGTTAAGAAACTTCCCCGTGGGCACACAGGTAGTAGGTGGTAAAGATGGTCTGTGAACCAAGGCTCACCTGAATTTAAAGTCCACTTACGGAGGGGGAGCTTTATCCTGTACAGTAAGAATTAAAGTTTGTAGTGAATATATAATATATATATGCAAATAGAAAAGGTATAGATTATAATGCATAGATTATGTTATCATAACGTAATATAATCTATTAATAATTATTAATAGATTAATACACATATAAATATTGACACATGCATACAGGAAAATCTGAAAAGTTATATGCCAAAATGTTAACACTACAAAGAGACACCTATGGGTTGTTGATGCCTTTGAATACAATCTATGGTTTATCTAAATCTCTCACTAGTACTCTTATTTAAGATTTAAAGGTTTTAAGAGATAATGAATCAAACGCAAATCATTCTATAGGATCATATTTAAACTGGTTTAAATGTTTGCTTTGTTTAAGTGTTTGCTTTGTTAACCTATTAGAAATTTTTATATCTAGAAAAAAACTGAGCACTTCTAAGCAAAACAGTGCTAAGTGTCAATAGCATACATCTAATAAAATTGAATATTAATTTTTTATATGTCTTGAACTAGGAAGCACATTCAGTTTTTGCATTTGCTTTTGAAAAACCTTTTCTTGGGTTTACAATACTTTTACTTTTTGGAGAAAACAGTTTAATAGAAAAGACTAAAAACTGTAATAGTTTGCTTTTAATCCTGCCTTGGTCAGAGACATCCAGTGTAGATGTGGCAAAGAGATTTTGATTCATTTGTTTGCCATTTGTGAAATGCAACATGATACTCACCTGGCTAAGGTGGAGAGTTATGATAAGCACACCGGCTGTGTTGAATGTAAATTGCTTCGAGTTCTTTGAAGAAATATTAATGTATCAATTCAGTTATTCTAAGGAAATGCAGAAATCCTTATAACCATCAGTTCATATTCCATAAAATGTACCAAGCAGACCTCCGGACTGTTGAGAACACCCCAATTAAGACAGTTCACTACACTCTTGACATGTTTATACCTCTAATTGTTCTCTTCAGGTGGTTACCTGGCTCAGCTGGACATTCTGGGGAATGCATGAGGATGGGCTGTGGCTTTGTGAAGAGGGCAGCAGGTGGGAGCCATACAGGCTCATGTGTAAACAGGCTGTTCTCTGGCTTACAGTGGCATCCAGAATACCCTGGTTATTCCACTGTAATTAGCCCCCAAAGAGCAGATTCGAATTTCTGTAAATAAGATTTGAGGAAGATGAGGTGATTCTGGTTAACGGGGTGTATGGATTTCTCCTAGGGATTCCAACAAAACACAGGGCTCTGCTCTCCACTCCTGACTGAGGGTGATGGAAAGCATACGTGTGTCCATTTCAAGAACACAGATGTGGATGCCACAAAGGCAGATCATGGCTTATATCAAATAATAAGAAACACGCTGTCTTTTTTTTTTACATTCTCTAAGAACATGCTTTCCTAAAACCTCATGCCACTTAAGTTCTAGATGATCTTTTTTATTTGAAATTTCAGCTAATTCAACTGCCCCCTCTAGTGGTATTTTAAAAACCCCTGGGACACCAAGTCTGGAATTAGATTGGGAACACGGAATTTGGAGAAACAATTAAAAACTTCAAAGTAGCAGTGGAAGTAAGTTGAAAAAAAAAGTGAAATAAACAAGCTTTATTTAGTTTATCTAAAGTTATCTAGTTTACTCTTAGTGATTATCAAATTACTTCAATAGCTTTATAGTTAATAAGTAGTTGTAATATTTCTCATCTCCAGATGGGAACGTCCTGAATGTTGAACTTTCCCAAGAGCAACTTCATTCAAGGGATGAAATGTTCAGATTTTATTTGGTGGGAAATCAATGTGACTCAGCTGCATACCATTGTAGTCATTGGGTTTCCATACTGTCCGTTGGCTAATCCTCTTGAGAATTTATAAAGGAGGTTAGCCTTTATGTCTGTCTCTCTCTCTCTCTCTCTCTCTCTCTCTCTGTGTGTGTGTGTGTGTGTGTGTGTGTGTGTGTGCCTGTGCATGTGTTTTAATTTCAATTGGAGCTGGTATTTTGAATAGATTTTTCATTTTTCTTTCGCATCCCAACCCTAATGCGCCCTGCAACCATCACCCACCTACCTTCCATTGCTGAGCATATCTGCTTGTTGCTGACAGCTCTGAAACAGAGCTGTCATTCAAGAGTGGCAGCTCTGCAGGGTTGCACTACCCAGAGTGCCACTTTCCTGGCTGTCACTCATTGGAAAAGCACCTGCTCTTCTCTGTGACTGTCATGAGGCATGGGCTTGCATCAGAACTCTACTCCTCCCCAGAAAATTGAGATGCCCAATTCATTGGAGCCCGCGGAAGGGAAACTGCTGAGAAAGCACAGAAAGTGCTCTGAACCAGGACTTCTCAGACTTTACCGCTCACATGAATCACCTGCAGATCTTGTTAGATGCAGACTCTGACACCGTAGCCCTGGGTTGGGACTGAGGGGCTGCATTTCCAATCAGTTCCCAAGTGATGCTGAGGCTCCTGGTCTATGGACCACGTCTGAGGAGCAAGGCTCCCAAGTACACCTGTTTTCAAAAATGATTCTTCTGAGATTCAGTTTACAATTCTATGCATCTCGTGAATATTCACAAAAGATACAGCACATGTGCCACCACCTGAAGTCCTGGTTTTTATAATATGAAAGAAACTTGAGATTGGCAAGTTTCTTTGTAATTTTAAAATTCCAGAATGCTCATGGATCACACACAGTCTTTCTTACAGTGTGGTTTAAATGGCTACATCCAGTTAACCGCCTTTTAATTGGTCTCCATCCTTCCTAACCTCATTTTATTAGTGCAGTTTAATTTTTTTTAAGTCTCATGGTTTAAGCAAGCAAAAACTAGCAGTATGGGCAGATGGCAGAAGGAACACCACCACAAAACCTGCCACTCAGAGTGTAACAGGACCGTAGCAGCTCAGAACTATCCCTTTGTTCATTTTGCTAATGAGTGTCCTCATTGCTGTGGGCATCTGAATAGTTAATTACTTGCAGTTCCCGCAGCTGACAGATGGTGGGGACAGAGCTAAGGGTTAACCTCGGAAGAAAAGGGGCTGTGGATTGATATGTGAAGGACAAACCCCCAGATTTAATGTGTTTTCCTTGAGTCCTGCTTCCATACAAAGAGATTCTTAGAACATGTGGTTAGGTATTAGCTGCTACCACTTGTAAATTTTACACTTCATCTGTTTAATTCAAATAGTTTTTCTTTAGTTTATGAGAATTGGGTGCTCCTGTAATCCTCTGTGGATGTTCATATTCTGCCACTGTTAGGAAAAGTGTGCTTAAGCCTATTAAGGCCAGTATTGTTTGTTTCTTTCTTTCTTAAAAAAGAGAAAAAAACTCTTTTAATCTATAAATGCATTCTGCGAGGGTCTCAAATTGAACAATGTGGGACAAGAAATTAATGACTGGGATTCGTCCTTTATTAAGAAAACAGTGTTGTGTATTAACTACTTACTAGGTTGTTAGTTCTTATTAGTTAAGAATGAATTGGGCTCAAATAATTTCAGTGAAATGGTGAATCAAAGTCATGAAGATTTGTAATTGAGCCTAGTACAAAATTTAACAATATGTTTTAAATATTACAAACTCCTAGACACACACACACACACACACACACACACACACACATATATAGCATATATAATTTTATTAGTAAGTTGCTTTAAAGGACTTATTAATGTACTACAAAAAAATTCAATCACTTCTTTTTCTTTAAAACTGTTACAGGGGAAAATATCTTAATAATTTAATTCCACATACCCTTAAACTTAAATGAAAGTGTAGTTCTAAAAGGAAATCAGTCTATTAAGAGAAATGATTTTGTTTTTGAGGGAAGATTTTGTTTTTATTTATTGCAATAATGGAATTACTGCAAAAAGAGTAAGTTATAATTCACTTGCGATGACCTTAAGTTCAAAATTATTTTTAATGTCTATAGTAATTTTGAAACAAGGCATGTAGAATCTCCTATCTCCTTTGACATCATAGTATAATGACTAATATTTTGAGATTGTACAATCTGTTTAATATTATACCACAGTAAAGTATAAAGTTCTGCCCCAGCTTCCCCAATCCATTACATCTTAATTTTTTTTCAATGTGTGGCAGTAAAATCTAGACAACCATAAGGAAGTATATTCAGATGTTTTCAATAGCTTTGAAATAGACAAGAAGAAGACAGCAAAAAAAAAAAAGAGTAGCTGTCCCAATAAGCGCGTCTATTGCGTAAGAAAAAGCCTCTCCCATAATGGACATGGCAAGATTTAAACAAAAGACACACATAATAAAAATGTAAATGAGTTTGCTTTACTAAAACTATAACTTTAAAGTCTTTTGTTGTAAGTTATCCTGAAACCTTCTTACAAGGTAATCACTGTTTGCATAGAGATTTAAACTGAAGTCTTCAATAGCATTAAACGCCTGCACAGACCCCGTGTGACAAGCATGCAAAGCCATGTTAATGTTCAGAATATGAATTGCCTCTGGGTGGCTCCTCCACCAAGCAGAAAACCAACTGTGTGGATATCCGTGTGCCTGATGGACTCCATGCGGCTCCCAGCCTGAAAACGTCACCACTTTGACATGTGATGTGCTCCTCATGACACTGGCAGCACTGACACTGGGAAATGCCACAAAGGCAACAAGCCCCCCTCCTTAGCCGTGCACTCTGCCACCCCCTGGCGCTGCCTGTCCTGGTCCCCCCAGCCTGCCTAGTTACAGGCGGACAGCACTTCAGACACACACAGAGGGAAGTGTGGGTGGAGGGGCCCCAGCTGCCTCCCCGGACACAGCCTCCATAATGAATTGACCTGAATGATGAGGGCACACAAACAGTATGATATGCATTATTCCTGTCAATAAAATGTCCCCATGTGTTGAGGTCTTTGTACAGAATGTACTGGAGCCTTTCTTCTAGCAAGCTCTATTTAGTCTCCTTCCTTTTTACTATTTGTATTATAAGTGTGTAATAGAATTCAGAAAATTATATGATAGCTTTTCTGTGTCTGTATTGTCCTTGTCTTGCATATTTAAATCCTTGGCTCCCTGCTTAGGAATATGGCATTCCCCATCTTGCAGGAGTCTTTTGCCAAAGAAACCAGCTCTCCAAAATCAAACCTAGAAAAGGAAAATTTGGAGTACAAAGTGGAAAATGAGAGACTGCTTCAGATCATTTCAGAGCTTGAAGAAGAAATCCAGATCAATCTAAAAGAAAATTCAGGATTAGGTAACATTTTGAAATCACTTTTAAGAAAAATCTACATATTGGTCACTTCGTAAAGCTCATAAGTATGTTTGTCTTTTCCAAACATACATTTGTTTAGTTATTTACATTTGAAAGATCAATTTCATAGCCATCTTTGGTTTTCATGATGGATAGCATTTCTTGCTTGGGACGGAGGATGTGTTTGTAGTTCTACTGTGAGCATGTCATGTTAACTCAGGGGGTTGTTTTGAGCCAGACATTGGCCTTTGCAAAAATTTGCTAATCAATGCTGCATTTCACATAGAAATATTATAACCAGATAGAAACCTTTGCTGTTTTGTTTCAGATGCTTAACTGATTATCTAAACTTGATAACATTTAAGTACTTAAGAATATACAGGGATATGCTTTGTAGAAAAAAAACAGAGTTAGCCCTTCAGGAAAATATGCTACTACTTACTAGTTATTTTGATTCTTGAACAAAACTAGAATATACAGTTTCATTTGTATACTTTATACTCCTTTTCTTTCATACCATAAACATTGGTGAAAGTTGTGTTTAAATCACTAAAGTTGTTAGAACATATGGAAAAGGGGAAAAAATCACTAAAGTTTATTGCTTTAATGTATTTTTTTCATTTAACTGTCATTCATGTGATTATCTTCATTATGTGATGTTTTTCTTAATCTACAGTATTCAAAGCAATGAGCAGGCAATATAACGAATTATAGCAAAGTATCAATAAAATGAGATATATTAATAGTCTCCCTTGGATATGAAATTCTACCATGCCGATAAGGTCTTGTTCTCTTCTGCTATGGCATAGCAAGGCTTTTTAGTTTGGTGTTGTTCTTATTAAGTCATAAACTGCCACCTGCTAAAGCTCTTTGTATTGGCTGTGACTAACAGCAAAAATGTCCATCGCTAGTATTGATGAAAAGCTTTCAGCCCTCAGCCACACTTGGATCTTGAACTTACTTCTTAATCCCTATCTGACCAGCCATCTGAACAGCAGGAAGAAGGCTGTGAATGTCAAGGGCAGTTGTGAAGGTCACAGTCCTGCTAGGCCTTGCGTCCAGCATGCCTGCGAGTGGCCCTCAGCCTGCCCTGAGGCAGGCCGTTTGAATACAGGGGCGTAAGCGTGTAATTTCATGGTTGGCCTCTCTCTCCTTTTGTTTACAGAAGATGAACTTATAAGTATGAAAGAGATGGCAGAAAAGGATCACAAAACTATTCAAAAGGTACTGTAACGTTTTACGTTGATAAATGACTCTTTTAAATGGAACTATAGGCGCAATTGACCAAATAACACTGTGTCCGGAATGTCTTATCACAGAGAGGAAAGTCAGTTCACAGGTTTAATCTCTCCCCACTCTTTGGGCAGGGTGACTAGAAGCAAATAAGGACTCCATCTTGAAAACTCAGGAATGTATAGATGTTTCTTTTGTTAGGGATCACTGACCATCTGCCTTGTTGATTTTAAGGCACCAAAAAGTTACAAGACACAGGGAAGTCTGAAGATGATCTTGCAGTTATGGAAAAAATTATATTAAGAACAAACAGTTTTATTTTCAGATCAGATGCTGGTTGATGTTCATGAATGAGCTGGGCATATGTTATCTGGTAAATATTTAGAGCAGGGAATTCTTTGGGCAGAACAAAAATCAAGCTTTCCTAGGTGGGGCTCAGTGGCTCACACCTGTAATCCTAGCAGCTTCGGAGGCCAAGGTGGGAGGATCTCCTGAGCCCAGGAGTTCAAGGCCAGCCTGGAAAACATAGTGAGAACCCACCTCTATAAAAATAAAAAAAATTACCCAAGTGTAGCGGTGCACATCTGTAGTCCCAGCTACTCAGGAGGCGGAAGTAGGAGAATTCCTTAGGCTCAGAAGTTCAGGGCTGCAGTCAGGCAGAATTGCACCCTGTACTCCAGCCTAGACAACAGATATTGAGACCCTGTCCCAAACACACATACACATACATCACCAACCCTCACAACAACAAGATTTCCTAGTGCATCGAATTGAATACAGCAGGATCTCAGCAATTCCTGCTCTCCCTGCACATGTAGGGCTCCCTACTCTGTCCTTGTCTATCCATAAACCTCCCTCTTGTGGCTCTCAATTGCCTTTCTGTTATGATCCATCTTCCTTTCCCTACTGGAGGCTCCAAAAAGGTGGAGACTGCACTGTCTGGTCTCTTAGTGGGGAGTACAATGAAAAACATGCACTGAAAAACATTCCAAGAGATTAATGGAATAAGAATGCATTTACAGTGCATATAATTTATGTATAAACAGATTCATATCTCCAAATTATTCCCAATAAGCATAAATGTCTTCCAGTAACTGAATCAAGCATCCATTTTTAAGTTAAAATGAATTCAAGTTAGACAAAATTAAGACTTCCGTTCCTCAGTTGCACTGGCCACATTTGAAAAGTTCAACCACCACATGTGCGTAAGTTTAGGTTCAGATTTCAACCAGGTCTGATATTGCTGTTCAAGATACTCTTTTTATTTATTTTTTAAAATATTTGTCCTGGCCAGTCACGGTGGCTCACACCTGTAATCCCAGCACTTTGTGGGGCCGAGGCAGGCGGATCATGAGTTCAAGAGATGGAGACCATTCTGGCCAACATGGTGAAACCCGATCTCTACTAAAAAATACAAAAATTAGCTGGCATGGTGGCACACACCTGTAGTCCCAGCTACTCGTGAGGCTGAAACAGGAGAATTGGTTGAACCCGGGAGGCAGAGGTTGCAGTGAGCTGAGATTGTGCCACTGCACTCCAGCCTGGTGCCTGGTGACAGAACGAGACTCTGTCTCAAATATATATATATATATATATATATATATATATATATATATATTCGTCCTTTATTTCTTCTAAAAAAAAAAGAGATACATGTGCAGAATGTGCAGGTTTGTTACATAGGAATACATGTGCCAAGGTGGTTTGCTGCACCTATTGACCCATCCTCTAAGTTCCCTCCCCTCACCCCTCACGCCCCAGTGGGCCCTGGTGTGTTGTTGTTCCCCACTCTGTGTCCATGTATTCTCAATGTTCAACTCCCACTTAGGAGTGAGAATATGTGGTGTTTGGTTTTCTGTTCCTTATTTGTTGAGGATGACAGCTTCCAGTTTCATCTGTGTCCCTACAAAGACAGGATCTCATTCCTTTTTATGGCTGCATAGTATTCCATGGTGTATATGTATCACATTTTATTTATCAAGTCTATCACTGATGGGCATTTGGGTTGGTTCCATGTCTTTGCTACCATGGAAAATGCTTCATTAAACATATGTGTGCATGTGTCCTGATGGTAGAATGATTTATATTCCTTTGTGTATATATCCAGTAATAGGATTGCTGGGTCAAATGATATTTCTGCTTCTAAATCCTTGAGAATCACCTTCATGGAACCTCCAGTAGGGCAGGGAAGATTGACCATACCACCTTCCACAATGGTTGAATTAATTTGCATTCCCACCAACAATGTAAAAGCGCTCCTATTTTGCTACAGCCTCACCATCATCTATTGTTTCCTGACTTTTTAATGACCATCATTCTGACTGGTGTGAGTTAGTGTCTCATTGTGGTTTTTGATTTGCATTTCTCTGATAACCAGTGATATTGAGCTTTTTTTCACGTTTGTTGGCCAAGTAAATATCTTCTTTTGAGAAATGTCTGTTTATATCCTTTGCCCACTTTTTGATGGGATGATAGTTTCTTTTGCTGTGCAGAAGCTCTTTAGTTTAATTAGAGCCCATTTGTGAATTTTGGCTTTTGTTGCCATTGCTTTTGGTGTTTTAGTCATGAAGTCTTTGCCCACCCCTATGTCCTGAATGGTATTGCCTAGGTTTCCTTCTAGGGTTTTTATAGTTTTGGGTTTTACATTTATGTGTTGAGTTAATTTTTGTATAAGGTGTAAGAAAGGGGTCCAGTTTCATTTTTCTGCTTATGCCTAGCCAGTTTTCCCAGCACCATTTACTGAATAGGCGATCCTTTCCCCGTTGCTTGTTTTCGCCAGGTTTGTTGAAGATCAGGTAGTTGTATATGTGTGGTGTTATTTATGAGTTCTCTGTTCTGCCCCATTGGTCTATATGTCTGTGTTGGTACCAGTTCCAATGCTGTTTTGGTTACTGTAGCCTTGTAGTGTAGTTTGAAATCAGGTATTATGATGCCTCCAGCTTTGTTCTTTTTGCTTACAATTGTCTTAGCTATACAGGATCTTCTTTGATTCCATATGAAATTTTAAATAGTTTTTTTCTAACTCTGTGAAGAATGTCAATGGTAGTTTGATGGGAATAGTGCTGAATCTATAGATTTCTTTGGGCAGTATGGCTATTTTCATGATATCGATTCTTCCTATCCATGAAGATGGAATGTTTTTCCATTTGTTTGTGTCCTCTTTTATTTCCTCATTCAAGATATTCTTAGGTTTTAGATAAAACTACTTCTAAGAAGTATTTTTCAAAGAAATGGTTACCTTGATGGGTCAGAGGTGAGAGATGTTTCTCTGATAACTGAATCCCTCACAGGTTTTCACAAGGGGAGTTAATTTTCCTGGGCTTCACCCTGTTTGCAATGATGATAATGTGAATTCCATGTAAGCTTCTTGGCATCAATCTCTAAGGCCAGAAATGAAATCTCAGCCTTCTGGTTTCACTTAATAACCAATCAGGGAACCATCACCAGTCTTTTCCTTCCTTCTTTCTTCCTTCCTTTCCCCTTCCTCTTCCCCTTTACCTTCCCCTTCCTTCCTTCCCTCAGTCTCACTCAGTCCCCAAGAGGGAGTGCAGTGGTGCAATCATATCCCACTTGCAGCCTCAAACGTCCAGGCTCAAGCAATCCTTCCATCTCAGCTCCCAGAGGAGCTGGGACTAAAGAGGAGTACCACCACACTTGGCTGGTTTTTTATTTTTTGTTTTTGTAGAAACAGGGTCTCACTATATTACCCAGGCTGGTTTCAAACTCCTGGCCTCAACTGATCGTCCTACCTTGTCCTCCCAAAGTGTTAGGATTACAGGTGTGAGCCACTGCACTGGGCCGGGTTTCTTTACTGAAAATGTTCCTCAGGCTCTTCAGTCTGTACTACCACTGGTAGAAATGAGTAGGATGCAGTTCTTGCTTTCTATAAGGAGTCCAATAGCAAAGCAAAGAAAAAAATTCTCACTTGTAAGCCACCAATTGATGGCTGGCTGTATCCCCCAAGAGTTTAACTATTTCAGTTAAGGGCTGCCTCAGCCTTCTAGATCTGTACTGTGCCATGATGGCCTCTGGTCATATGTGGCTACTGAGCACTTGAAATGTAGCCAGTGCAACTGAGGAACTAAGTTTTAATAATTTAATTTCAAATTATTTAAATTCAAATTTAAAAACTTATACTTGTTTTAGTTCTTGGAAAAACCTTTTCATGTATTTTTGTTAACTTGGATATGTGGCTCTATTTTTTCATTTGTAAATTTTATGAAATCTAAATAAAAATAAAGTATTTCCAATGAAAACTTAGCTCCCCAATTGAGATGTGCTGTAAGTGAAAAATACACACTGGATTTCAAAGACTTGGTATAAAAAATGTCAAATGTCTCACTAATAATTTTTTACATTGATTATACATTGAAATGATAATATTTTGAATATATAGGGATAATAAAAATACATTATTAAAATTGCTTTTACCTTTTGCCTTTTCAACACGGCTATTATAAAATTTAAAATTATATATGTAACTCACATATTTCTATCTGACAGCTCCATTATATATAATGTAATATATATGGCATATAATGTAACATATAACATATACAGTGTGATATATATTACATTATATTAATGGAGCTATCAGATAGAAATATAATGTGAGTTATATAACATATTATATATATTACATATATAATGTAATATATGTAACATATGATATAGTATAGCAGACTCCTAATCTGCTTATTTTTTTAATTCTTTCTCTTCTTTTTTTCTTTACATGCACTAGAACTTCTGATAGACATTGAATATAGGAATATTTTGGTACTGAGCAGAAAGAATCTAGAACCCTGGATTCCTGTTCCATTTCTGCCCTAATTTCCCTGGGGCCAGTGCCTGTCTCTCTTCTTCCTGCTTTTCCCAGGCATGCCATGTGGACTCAAGGAGATAATGAATGTCAGCGTGCTTTGTCAACTGGGAAGCAGTTCAGATGTTGTTGAACAAATGACAGCTGATATTTGCTCGGTTTTTTCCCCAATATCCTGCACTAAATCAATTAGTTCAGCAGTGTTTATTAGTTGCCTTTAAGTGCTAGGCACTGTGCTACTGCTAGAAAAAAATAAAATGTATGTATACACATATGGTCCCTTCTGGGGACGGGGTGAGGTCTATAGGGATAGGCCAAAGCCATAGGGCAGTAAGATAGGAACTATAAGAGAAGTGTATACTAGAGAAGAGATACCCAGCTTCATCTGGAAGGTTCTAGAAAAGCTTCACAAGCAGTTTCACCACCTTTCTCACATTCTTTTATTGAGGCTCACTGGAACTGATTGTTCTGGGTTTTTGTTTTGTTTTTGTTTTTGTTTTTGTTTTTTGCCTTGTGTGCCTATTTGTATATTTGGGTTTTTTTTAAAGATAGGGTCTTGCTCTGTTGCCTAGGACGGAGTGCAGTGGCATGACCACAGCTCACTGCAGCCTTGACCTCCTGGGCTTAAGCAATTCTCCCACCTCAGTCTTCTGAGTAGCTGGGACTACAGGCATGCACCACACCTGGCTAATTTTTTTTAAAATTTGTGTGTTTGTGTGTGTGTAGATTGTCCCTCACTCTGTTGCTTAGGCTGGTCTCAAACTCCTGGGCTTAAGGGATCCTCCCACCTCAGCCTACCTAAATGCTGAGATCATAGGCCTGAGCCACCGTGCTGGGCTTTGGAGCTGATTTTTCCAGGCAAGCAAGACAGTAGAAGAGCTAGGTACAGGGTATAAAGACATAAAGCCTGACATAGGTTTCTGGAATCTTGCTTATGACTGCATGTGGCTCGAGAATGCAGTAGGAGTCTGATGAGACTATATGGGAAGAATCTGCAGTGGGGGCAGAAAGAGGGGACAGGTCAGGGGTGTGGGGAAGGGAGCATAAACAGTATTCTGAGTACCACACAAAAGCACCTTGTATAGGAAAGGGTGTGTGGTTTGTTGTAGCTGAAGAGTACGTGAGAGCAAGGCGTGGCAAAGGGCACAGGACTGAGCCAGAATATTATTATTCATGCAGACAGGTTTGAATAACTTTCTAAGTGCATTAGAGAGCCTTAAAGAATGGAAAGGAGCAACTTAGAAGACTTCGGATAACCACATGTGCCCCCTGGCTTTTTTTTTTTAAGCCCTGGGTGCACTTAAAAACAGGCTGAAATGGGACTGAATTTGAGGAGGCTGACCTCTTGCCATCGATCTGAGCTAAACATGGTCAGTTATAGAATTCATAGCTTTTGTGTTTTAATTCTAGGAATCAAATGCCATCTGTGTCTCTGTCTGTCTTTCAGCGGCTGCCACAGTAGAATCTGTTCTCATGAATTTAACTCAGGGAGGGAGGCAGAGCCGGAGTCAGAGAGCACAGTACAGGTGTGATAGTTTCGGAATGCAGAGAAGCAGAGTTTGCTGTGCGGCACACAGGAGGCACACCCAGCCAGGGCTGTATGAGACCAGGGAAGGTTGGAGGAAGGATACTGCATTGGCCCTGAGAAGAGCAGTTAGAGTTAGCTAGGAAAGGGATGCGGGAGAGTTGGGAGGGGTATTCTGAGTACCACACAAAAGCACCTTGTATAGGAAAGGGTGTGTGGTTTGCCGTAGCTGAGGAGTACATGAGAACAAGGCGTGGTAAAGGGCACAGGACTGTGGCAGAAGATTATTATTAATGCAGACAGGTTTGAATAACCTTCTGAGTGCATTGGAGAGCCTTGAACACTGCGGTAGGGTCAGATTGTGTTTCAGAGAGAAAATGAATGAGAGGGAGGAAAGCCCAGAACCAGAGTCCAGTGAAGGCATTGCTTGGATAAACCAGGGAAACGATGAAGTACTGAAACAAGAACGGTGACACTGAGATGTTTATTAAATTAACACAGATATGAATTAATTACATTGAATGCCTATCAAAATGAAAGGTTGAATTCTACCAGCCTGTAACACACATAAACAGCAACTGATCAATGTAAAAACTGAAGCACAAGGGGACAAGTACCCTGCAGTGCGTGGGATTTTCGTGTTTTTTTTTTTTTACCTTTTAATTTTTGCAGGTACCTGGTAGATACATATATTTATGGGATATATGAAATATTTTAATACAGGCATACAGTGTGAATGATCACATGAGGATGAATAGGGTATCCATCGCCTCAAGCATTTATCCTTTGTATTACAAACAATCCATTTATGCTCTTTTAGTTGTTTTTAAATGTACAATTATTATTAATTATAGCCACTCTGTTGTGCTATCAAATACTAGATCTCATTCATTCTTTCTAGCCATTTTTTTTGTACCAATAACCATCCCTACTACCCCACTCGTCACTACCCTTCCCAGCGTCTGGAAACCATCTTTCTACTCTCTATCTCCATGAGTTCAATTGTTTTAATTTCTAGCTCACACAAATAAATGGTTTGTTTGTTTGTTTGTTTGGAGACAGGGTCTTGTTCTAGGCTGGAGTGCAGTGGTGCGACCATAGCTCATGGCAGCCTTAGATTCCTGGGCTCAAGCAATCCTCCTACTTCAGCCTCCAAAGTAGCTTGGATTATAGGCATTCACCACCATGCCCAGCTAATTTTTGTATTTTTAGTAGAAATGGAGTTTCACCATGTGAATCAGGCTGGTCTTGAACTCCTGACTTCAGGTGATCCACCTGCCTCAGCCTTCCAAAGTGCTGGGATTACAGGTGTGAGCCACTGTGCCTGGGCCAAAAAAAAAAAAATTTATGGAGACCCAATCTCACTGTTTAAGACCAGGTTGATCTCAAACTCTTGGCCTCAAGCAGTCCTCCTGCCTCAACCTCTCAAAGCACTGGGATTACAAGTGTGAGGCACTGTACTCAGCCCAGTGTGTGCTTCTGATGGCTATTTTCAATTGGTATAAATGTGGTTTGATAGGCACATAGATACAGCACAAACCCTAAAATAAGAGATGGGTCATATAAAGCATTAAGCAAAATTGCTCTTTTTGACGGAGTAGGACTTGCTTTATTGTGATGTTACATTTTGATGGCATGGGGTGAGGAAAGGTATAAATAAATTGGTATTTTCTGTATATATTTTACTTGCTTATATAATAATTGTGTAATATATTACAAGATGATGATCTTTCAAAATTTAATTTTCTTTTGATCAAATTGAGATCCATTTTTCTCATATTAAAATATGTTTCACTGAATTCCTTTAAGGAGGGATTTCAGGTGTTCCATTCTTATGTTTAATCAAAATGTAATTTCTTCTCTATTTCAGTTAATGAATAGTAGAGACAGATTAAGAGAAGAGCTTGATTATGAAAAATCATTAGTTCAAGATATGGTAAGATGATTTGCATTATTTCCTAACAAATTTGAATTCAAGAATTTAATTTAACCATGGAAGTTTTGTAAACTTTATGATTGTTTCCTGTGAATGACTCATTTCACCTTTATCAAAAATCTAAGTACATGCATAATTATAAACATTTGTAAATGGCCATTTTAAAGAAAGCAGTTTGAGTAGCACAGCAATAAATATGCTTACTAGAGTCTTGTATAAGAAACAGTATTACCATTTAAAACCATGTGTAAAATTTCTGCATTTTATTATGGAGATTTAAAACAACAAATATGAGAGCGCACTATTTTGAAGAAATTGCTATTTTTAGTTACAAATTGCCGTAAGTGATAATAAAAAAAGAGCCCAGCTAGATATTTTGGCATTCTGTGTTAGTCTCATAAGAAAACACTGCCTTTTTATGTTCTTTTAAGAGAACTTTCCAGACGGCTGGTCTTTTATCAGTTGACTACCCAGCCCCTGGCCCCCCCACAGCAGCCCCCCTCCCAGCTTATGGTGGCGTACTTGGCTTTCAGCTGATTACCACTAGTATGTCTTTGTTACAGGAAACTGACTGTGTTTATTATAATAAAAAATAAAACACAGCTTGACTTGCGTTCTAAATGTGCTTGAAAAGAATATGATACTGTTTGGAAGAGAAAAGGTTGCTCATAGGAAATCAACACCACTTCAGATATTGAAACATTCGCTTTTTTACAGCTTGTCACACTTTGTGCCAAGTCATGACTGTTTCCCTAACTCTGTTTTGTTACTCTCAGCACCCTGTGTTTTGGGTTCCTTGTCATAGAAATGAATGCAAAACAATTCTCCTGGATTACAATAAAGCCTTCTATGAAACCAACTTGGGAATGCAGGCAACAAAAAAAATTATGGTTGGCGATTCAAAAAACCATGTGTTAACAAATATGTTATTTTGAGCCCTCACTTTTAAATACCTGGCATATAAAAATAGTCTCCATTACTTGAGCCTACTTGGTGAATTTCTCCTACCCCATCCCCACTCTCTTCTGTCATTCCTCCAAAGTTCAGGCTTTGCTTTGGAAAACAAGCAACTAAATGTGCATATTGTCATTAAAATTGAAAGTGTTTTTATAGAGTGGAAAGCCAATGTTATATTGTTTGTTAGCAGCAATAGAGAAGAAATTAAACTTCTCAATCATTGAATTTGTGCCTATACTAGGAGCAGATCCCATACTCTTTGAATGACTTTGCCTCTTTATTTTAACTGTAAGCCTTTAACGGGTGCTATTGTATCGCTCACAGGGGAACCAATCATGTTTTATTTTGTGGTTTAGAAGTTTGTTGAACCCCAGGCTTGTTGCCAAGCAGCAAGAGCCTGCACCACAAACCCCATGACAGCAGAGCCTTCAGGATGCTTAGACTAGTCTAGGAGCTCAAGATTTCAATAGAGGGAGCGGGCTTGATGTTCCTTGAGTGATCGACATTGCACACCTGCTTTGGACCCATCAAGGCCACTATTTCTCCACCTTCTCCCTACCCCTGCGAGGCATTCTGCTGTTGGCTTTCTTGTTGCTATTTGAGCTTCCGTTGTTTCTTGCTGTCCTGTGTTTTTCCAGACCAGGATTTGTGATTGCACAGAAAAGGGAGAGTGGGAGAAGGTGGAGCTGACCACAGTCATTGTGTGAAAATTTAAATACCTTCTAGCTAGAAGCGTTTTGTTACATTCTTGTCTATTACTATTTTCCAGTAAAAGTTATTTTCTGAGCTGTTATACGTATAGGGCAGAAAGTCAAAGAACTAGCAGTAAAGAGGTGCAATCAGTAAGTATATGTAAACTGGCTGGGCGTGGCCGCTTATGCCTGTGATCCCAGTGCTTTGGGAGGCTGAGATGGGAGGATAGCTTGAGCCCAAGAGTTCGAGACTCACCTGAGCAACATAGTGAAGCCCTATTTTTACATAAAATGAAGATTAGCCAGGCCTGGTGGTGCATGCCTGTAGTCCTCCTACTCAGGAGGCTAGGTGGGAGGTGGGAGGATGGCTTGAGCCCAGGAGTTTAACACTGCAGTGAGCTGTGATTGTACTACTGCTTTTTAGCCTGGGCAACAGAGCAAGACCTTGTCTTTAAAAAAATAATAATTATGATAAATAAATAAATATTTATTATATGTAACATACATATTATTTATTATATATAACATATAGATATGTTAGGTAAGCAATGCTATCTACAGTGACTGTATCCTTAGATTGGCTTTGAGCAGGCATACAAAATAATTTTGTATCTTTCTTTGATTCCTACACTAAGTGGCTTTCATGTATCTTGAAGTTAACAAAAGAGAGGGTCTTCATCAGAAAAACACCATGGTTGAACTCTTCTCTTCCTTCATTTCCGTTTGCTTCGTCCCAGTTTGCCCGGTTGCTTGGAACAGTCCAGACTGGGGATAGGAAGGAAGCACATAGGCTGCCCTAGCCCCGTCTGGAGGCTCAGCACTAACACCCTAACTGGGTTCCTGATGCCTGTATTCTCTCCGAGGCAGTGCAGCTCTGTTCTATGTCATGTGGCAGTGTTTAGCCATCCGGTTAGAAAACGGATGCTTTCAGTGGTCTGTGCAAAAGCACGTTTACATAGAAGCTCTGCGAATAGTGGCTCTTTATCAAGACAAACATGACACACACGTGGCCCAATGTGACTGCGTCCCTGTGTGCCATGGCAGGCAGAGAAGCAGGTTCTGCTGTCCGTGTGGTCTCTGGCTTACTCTCAGTGAGTCTTTGCCCGCTGGTCAGTCAAATGTGCTCCATGCAATCTTGGACATTTGTTAGTCCTGCATAGCCTTCACAATCTGCTTCTTTAAATAGCATTTTTAAAATATAGAGACAGGGTCTCACTATTTTGCCCAGGCTAGTCTTAAACTGCTGGACTCAAGCAATCCTCCCACCTTGGCCTCCTAAAGTGCTGGGATTACAGGCATGAGCCGCTGCAGCCGACCCACAGTCCACTAATGAAGTCGAAGAGCTAGAAGGCAAACCCTGTGAAAGGAACAGCTCCCCTGAGGGTGTGTTCAGAATTCATCAGAATGAGCTCCATAAGTTCTTGCAGCCATCCACCCCTCCTGAAATCAGCAGGTAGATCTCTCTATATATACTCAGGAGATTCAGGCAAGGATGCCTCAGAGTTCTGTTTCTTCTGTGCTGTTCCTTCTCCCCGAACTGCCCTCTCTTGGTCAGAACCTGGTTAGTTGCTCTCGTCTTTCAGGTCAGAGGGCAGATGCTGCCTCCTCTGGGAAACCTCTCCGACACTCTCTTCCCTTGCCTGGAGGAGGCGCCCACCCTCATTCTGACATGGCACATAATTGTCCTCTTGTGGTTCTCATCACATTCTTCTTTAGAGACAGCCTGTTATCTTACCCGCTATTTCCATTCTGTGAGCTACGGTTTTACCCCTAAAACGTAACATGGTGGCCCACGTGGAGTAGGTGGCCAGTAAGCATTTGTTGTGAGTAAAATGGAAGGGATGACAAAAATAGTTGAGAATAGCTTAACCCACACTATACATGGCATGAACTATATGTACTTTAATAAGCCCATAATACTAATACACAAGTGACATAGCTATACAATATACAGAGTAACTACAGGGGGGTTTCCAGGATTAATTTCCAGGTTCCATTCCAGTGGTTCTCAAGCTTTTTGGTCTCAGGATCTCCTTACACTCTTAAAAATTATTGAGGCCCCCCGCCAAAGGAAATTTGGTTTAGATATAGTTTGGATGTGTGCTCCCATCAAAATCTCATATTGAAATGTAAGCTCCAATGTTGGAGGGGGGACCTTGTGGGAGGTGATTGTATCATGTGGGAAGATTTCTTGTGAATGGTTTAACACCATCTCCTGTGGTACTGTCTGCATAATAGCGAGTGAGTTCTGGTAAGATCTGGTCATTTAAAAGTGTGTAGCATCTCCCCCTGTTCTCTCTCTTGCTCCTGCTCCCACATGGGAGACAACTGCCCCCCCTTCAACTTCCACGATGATTGGAAGCTTCCTGAGGCCTCCCCAGAAGCAGAAGGTGCTATGCTTTCTGTACAGCCTGCAGAACCGTGAACCAATTCAACCTCTTTTCTTTATAAATTCCCCAGTCTCAGATATTTCTTTATAGCAATGTGAGAACAGACTAATACAGATGAGTTTTCTCTATTGATATTTACCACATGTGAAATGAAAACGGAATCAAATTATTTATTAAATGACTTAAAAAAACACTAAACTCTTTACATGCTAACATAAATGGCATATTGTTTATAAGAAAATCTTTCCCCAAACTGGCATTGTGTGTGTGTGTGTGTGTGTGTGTGTGTGTGTGTGTGTGTGATGTGTGTGTATCTGTTTGAGACAGGGTCTTACTTTGTCACCCAGGCTGCAGTGCAGTAGCATAATCACAGCTCACTGCAGCCTCAACTCGGTTCAGCCTCCCAAGTAGCTGGGATTACAGGCACGTGCCAACACATCTGGCTAATTTTTCTATTTTTTGTAAAGACAGGGTTTTGCCACATTGCCCAGGCTGGTTTTGAACTCCTGGGCTGAAGTGATCCACCCAGGAGTGGATCTAGCCTCCCAAAGTGCTAGAATTAAAAGCATGAGCCACCACACCCAACCACTTGTTTCTGCAAATTTCTTTAGTATTTGGCTCCCTGGAAACTATTTAAATTCTCACAGATGCTTCTGTATTCTCTGCCATGATAAATATCACATAGCTTCTGAAAAACTCCAGTGTATACTCATGACACCATGAGAATGAAGAAACAGTGACTAATCTCTTACTATTATTATGAGAATAATATAGGCCTCACAGAACCCCAAAGGTTTGGGGGACCTCAGAGGTCCTTGGACCACATATTGAGAGCTGCTGCCTCATTTAATAGGAAAAACTCTTAGTCAGGTGTGGTTAAGTGAAATGTCTTTGTCTGTTTATGATTGTGATCCCCTTTTTTTGTTGTCATTTAATTAATTTATTCACCAGTTCCTTTCCCTGGCACATCACCATTAGAATGTTACACTTTCTAATACATTTACTAATACTAATATGTTTACATGAACATAAGCCATTACTGCGGCACTCAGGCAGGCAGTCCAAATTTCCACATGAGAAATTACCATTTATCTCTCTCAATGTGGTGATTAGGCCAAGTGCTTACCATGGGCAGTATCTAATGTTGTGCTGTTACATTCTTAGGTGGAATGCAAGGGTATAGGCATACATACCTCTAGAACATGTGATGTAGGTGTAAAGTTTATTGATTAAAAATTACAAGAAGAGAATTAATGGACAGGAAACACTCCTTTGGTCTTTTATTAGCCCACCAAGAGAGAGCTTGGGTGAGGTGAATCAAAGAAATTGCCGCGGGACAGGGATCCCCCCTACACACCACTTCATCTATTTATAGGGAAGTTTGCCGCTTAGCGCACTATATGACAGTGGGAGCTTCCTGGCCAGGGAATTGTCTTTCTAAAAAGGGGAGAACCCAGCGCTGAGCTAGAGAAGGTGGCATCAATGCCATCTGCATCAGTGAGAGTCATACAGGTCTTCCAGAGGCTCCCTTCATCCCCTCGAGCCATCTCACTGACCAAGCAGCAGAGTGAGGAATGAGCTGGTGGATCTTGGGTTTGTCTGTTCCCACTAGCAGTGTGTAAAGGTTCCTTCCCTCCTTAGAGAAAAGAGGAGTGGATTATTCACACCTGTACTCAGTAGTATAAAAAGGCATTGATCATGACTGATAGGGTGACCAGCTCATCCTGGTTTTCATTCTTAGTACTGAAAGCCCTACATCCTGAGAAACCCCCGAGTCCTGAAAAAAAAAAACAAAAAACAGGATGATTCATCACCCTAATGGGAAGAAACCTGGAAGCTTCTTCTATTAGTCCAGGTATTCCAGAGAAACATAGGTTCGTGTATTAGCTCCAATGTATTGAGAGAATTCTGAGGCAAAATTGAAACTCTGGGTAAAAGGGCTCAAACTTTTAAATATTAACCATACTGATATTGATTACTGGGAAAAATTATCAAGTGAGCTAGCAGTCAAACTGACTCCTGCCCCCAATTTTTTAAAACCTCAAAAAATTTTAGATACAGTATTACAAACATCTTTGTAAAAGCATTAAAAAATGACCAGGGACATGGGGCTTATGTGGTCAAAAGTCAAACATCAAGGGAAAAACACAGGGGTCAGTTGAGCTTTCCAAGTTAAGATTGTCCTGAGGGGATTGACTCATCTGCACTACACAGAAGCCACAGTCCAGGGCATGCTAGAGAGAGAGAGAGAGAGAGAGAGAGAGAGAGAGAGAGAGAGAGAGTGTGTGTGTGTGTGTGTGTGTGTGTGTGTGTGTGTTGGGATAATCAGCAGTGATCTCTTGCATTAGGCTGAGAAGCAAAGGTTATTCTTATAGGATGAATGTGACCAAATGTAAACCTGCAAGCTATCTAATACCCAGAGGCCTGCAGGGGAGAGTTACCTCTGTACTGAGCAACACAAGAGGGATAATCTCTTTCTGAAGCATTTTGATAGGCAGGACTTTCAGGGGATTTGCAACACAAGTTTGTATCCACAAAACCTCAAACCCTCACTTTAGTTAGTTTGTTTTTAAGAGATGGGATCTTGATATGTCATATAAGCTGGTCTCAAACTCCTGCACTCAAGCAATCCGCCCACCTCAGCCTCCCAAGTAGCTGGGACTTCATGCCACTGCACATGGCATCAGTTTAGTTTTAAGTGAATGGAAGATAATTTCCATTTGCTGAAATTATTAATAATTAATTGCTGAAAGAAGCAAATGGAAATACTCCCTGGAAGGAAGTACTTCAATCCTAAGCCCCAGAGGATTCCCAGAATTCTCTCCTACAATTATAAGAGCAATTAATATCACGCAGTCAAAGATAAGGAAGCACACAAGGAAATAAGGAACCACATGTCAGAAACAACGTAGAGTAAAAACAACTACATGGACTTCAGAAATTCGAGTTTTCCAACAATATTTAGTGCGTGTGGTAGTTTGTCTCCAAGAGTGGAGCAGGAGTTGGGCCTAGGCAGGGGACTGGCAACATATGCCTAGCTGGATTTCACAATCACTATGGACCAGTTACTGCTCTATGCCTCCTTCCTTTGAATAGAGTGGGGTCTCTCCCACCATGGAACATCGGCTGTGTGGGTACAGATAACTTATCTGTTTACTTTCTGGATCTTCAGATCAAGAGAGATTTTACTCAAGGAGCCTCATCTGCAGCTGGACCTGATTTAGATAATGAGATTCCAGATTTCAAGCCGATGCTATAGTAGGATGAGATTTTCTAAGGCCTTAAGTGAAGATAAATATATTTTGGTTATAGGAAGAATGTAAGATAATGGAGCCAGAAGGCAGGTAGATGGTGAAAAAGCATTTAAGAGACTCCAGTTTCCATTCATGATTTAAAAAAATACTCTCAGCAAACTGGGAATAGAACGGGACCTCTCAAGCTGTTAAGAGGTAGCTTCAAAACACACTATTATCATGGCTGATGCTGAAAGCATGAGGATTTTGAGTCTGAAGTCGAAAATATGACAAGAATTTCTGCTCTTAACTCTTCCGTTCAACATCTAATTTAGGTCCTTAACCAGTGTAATAATGCAGACACACAAAAGTAAATAATGTCCAGATTGGAAAGGAAGAGGTAGAACTTTTTAAATTCCCAGATGGCATGGTCACCTCTATAGGAAATCCTAACAAGTCTTAAAAAAAAGCTACTAGGATTAATAAGTGAATGCAGAAAGGTTGCAAAGATCAAGATAGAAAAATCTTGTACTTCTATATGTAAGCAATGAACAATCAAAAATTGAAATTTTAAAAAACACCAGTTACAATAACATCAAACAATATGAAATGCTTATGGATACACGTGATAAAATATGTGCAAAACATGTACAGCCAATAATATAAAATACTGCCGAAATAAATTAAAGACTTAAATAGATGCAAAAATGTTCCATTGTTCGTGATTCAGGAGTTGCATATTATTAAATTGTCAGTTCTCTCCAGATTGATTTACAGATTCAACAATCCTAATCAAAATTCCAGAAGGGTTGTTTTCTTTGTTGAAATCAACAAGCCTATCCTAGAAATTCTTATAGTAGTATCGAGAAAATGATTTTTAAACCATTGTAACAAAGCTTAACTATAACACAACCATGCGTTGCCTAATGACATTTTGGTCAACACCAAACTACATATACAATGGTAGTCCAATAAGATTATGATACCTTATTTCTGCTGTAACTTTTCTACGTTTGAATGTGTTTAGATACCCAAATACCTACCACTGTGTTATAGTTGCCTACAGTATCTAGTACAGTAACATGCCTTGCAGCTTTAATAGGCTATGCCCGAAAGTCTAGGTGTGTAGTGGGCTGTACACCTATATTTGTGTAAGTACACTCTAATGTTTGCACATAATAAAATTGCCTAATGACACATTTCTCAGAATGTATCCCCAATGTTAAGCCAATCATGACTGTGTTAGGCCTGAGTTCAAACCCATTGAAACCAACTAAATATAACTCTTCATGGGCAACAGTGACTATCCTCTCAGACTGCAAGATGTCATTAGACAGCCCTGCTTGCTCTTGAGTTCTGCTTTATTGATAGGTAACAGAGAATTTTGCAAATCGGTTGTACTTGTTGTTCAGATGTCAATAAGATTAATGGTTAGATGTGTTTCTCATCATTATTTAACTTCAAGTAGGATTACTTGTAATTAGAATCACTGGCATTATTCATAAATTCATATTTTGAAAAAATTTTAATATTATGGAAACATGCACTAATAACACATTTTTTGATACAATAACTTCTATGCCTAAAAATTAAAATTGATTTTTTTTTTCTAAAGCCAGGGTCTCACCCTGTTGCCTAGGTTGGAGTGCAGTGGCACAGTCACAGCTCACTGTAATCTCAAACTCCTGGGCTCAAGTGATTCTCCTGCCTCAGCCACCTGTGTAGCTGGAACTATAGGTACACACCACTACACCCAAGTAATTTTTATTTTTTTGTTTTTATTTTTATTTACTTTTTTTTTTTAAAGTCACAATCTCAGGCCCAATATTTTTTTGTTTTTTATAGAGATCGGGGTCTTGCCATGTTGCTCAGGCTGGTCTTGAATGCCTGGCTTCAAGCAATCTTCCCACTTTGGCCTCCCAAAGTGTTGGTATTACAGCCATAAGCCACTGCACCCAGCTTTAAAATTGATTTTTAAAGTAAAATTTTGTTCACTACAGTATTGAAGTTCAGCTATTAAATTATCTTAAATTTCTCAAGCTAGCTTATGTTAATAATAAGACCTAGTATTTACAGCTATTATAATAATGTATCAAATTATCACTTCATAAGCAAATAATGCATGTTTTCCTATTATCTCTGTTGTAGTTAATGCAATGAATAGATGCTAATAACGTTAGGTATTTGCAATTTTATATATTTCTGTTCACTTTTTTATAAAAGCTCTTTTTCTGGATACAAGTTTGTTTTCTCTTTGATATTATGAATTGTATTCCCATAATAGTTTTGGCAGACAAATGATTTAAAATGTCTTTCATTGGTTACAGAAGTTTTATAGAAAATTGTCTTTTTTAATCTTTGCAGATAATAACCAATGATATGGGTCTTCCATTTTACAGATTAATAAACAGAAAGAGGACAAGGAAATGAGAAAAAAGTATGGCAGCTTAAGTGTCAAGGTTTGTGTTTAAGTTTTCTCACTCTTTCTCGTTTCTCTTTTGTTTTGTGCTTCTCTTGTTTTGGCATCTGGTTTGTCAATTCTGTGTAGCATACCAAGGTTTTTCATTTTCCAGCGTCTGAATTTGAAAAAGAAAGTTCATGAAAGTGAGCAAGGCCAGGAGCAGTGGCTCATGCCTAAAATCCTAGTACTTTGGGAGGCCAAGGCAGGAGGATTGCTTGAGTCCAGGAGTTCAAGACCAGCCTGTGCAACATAGCAAGACTCTGTCTCTTTTAAAAAATAAGTAAAGTGAGGTTAGAAGTGTGAATGGGAGATCCGGAGCTGACTGCTGAGAACAGGGAGCAGACAGTGAAATCAGAAGCCAAAAAGCCAGCAAGTGGGGCATCAGGAAGAGTGTGCCCTGCTGTGCTCATCCTCCAGCTCCAGGCCCTGCACGTTCCTGCACCTTCCTTCCTACTCTCAATTTCCCTACCTTCTTCCCACCTAGATATAAACTTCGAGCTGACACCCCACCCCTCTTCACATGGAGCCCACCGTTCCAGGGGCTTCCAAAGGGCATTGACTGCTGGTGTGTTCTTCTTAGGACATGTGGATTACAGGCAGGGAGTGGAGGAATAAGCCCAGCCTGCCAATCGAATCCTGCCAGGGGAGATTGTGGGCCTGAGAGCAAAAACAGATCCATGTGCCCTAGCACTGAAAAAACCTCAACTCTGCAACTCCAGCTCAAGGGAGGGGAAGAGTATGAAAAAAAGGGACACAAATCCAAGAAACAAAATGAGAATGACGAAGTTGGTTCTTTTTGTGTGGCAGGCGGCAAGGTCAGCCAAGGGGAGAGAAGCCTCTTTGTCTCCATGGCCCAAGTCTCCACCAAGCACCACAGCTTCAAGGCCACATTCTGCATCCATGAGTGTATCGTCTGCTGGGACCAAGAAAGCTAAGACTCCAAAGAAGGCTTTAAAGGAAGAGCAACCTGTGGTAATAACTGCTTCCATAACCACATCCTGTCCACCTTCCTCTGCACACGGGCTCCTGTCTCTTTAGCCCTATCCATGAGGCCTGCAGTCTAAGCACACCTGGTTCTCACCCCTGAGCTAGGGCTCCAGCTGCCTATTTCTAAACCAACATGTCAGGGTGAGCCTCCTTCACTTTCCCAAGGTGAAGCCATCAAGCCATCAGTATCCCCAACCAGGCAGTTGATTTAGCTGAGTGACTAAGCCTCAGTGAGTCTCTATTTAATTATCAAAATAGAGAAGCTACATCCCAAGCACTTCCTGGGGTATACAGTCTCAAACTCGTTACTGCCCAGTATCTATTAGAAGCTCACTGAAGATTCCCAGAAGGATACACAGGTATCCAGTCCATTTGCACATGCAGGATTCCTCAACCTATAACTGGAGGAAATCACACTCTCAGAGACATGCACGCATAAACTGTGCTGGCTGCTCTCCCTTTCCACCTTTCTCCAGATCATCACAACCGTTTTTACAGGAACTAGGGTAGTACCCTTGATCTACATAAAAAGGAGGTGCTAAGAAGTAGCTGTGGGACACTCAGCTCCCTGTGGTCTAATTGTGTGGATATTCGTGAAGCACTTCTCAGTGCATTATACAATACCTCCCCTCATCACGACCCTGTAGAAAGCCTTCTGCTCTTAGCTATAAGGAGAGTTGTATTTCTACAACTCTTAGTTGATCTGTGGACACTGAATTGTCTAAGTAGTCAAGGCTCCTTTTCCATGTTGACTCTTAGAAGGCTTGGAACTCAATTAGTGACACATATGGCCAGTGTCTAGTGCTCCACACAGAGTCTCTCTACTGCATATTTTGCTCTCACAAACTTTGTCCTGTTCCTCTGGGTTCCCATGTTCTTCCTTCTTGTTCAACACGGGGCAGAATTTGCATTTCTCTCACTTAGAGCATTTCTCTCACTTTTGCAGTCTCTCACTTAAGAGGGCAGCAGAATCGTACATGCCGTGGGCATCCTTGCTCCGAAAAGGGGGAAGGCAAGAGCCACCCTCCTGTGCCCCCTCCCAGGAGATGGAGCACTCGTCATACCCACAGAGTGGAAGGGGGAAGCTAGGGCAAGGCCAGGCCTGGGGTGTTAGTGGAAGTCACTCTACTGGGAAGAGAAAAAGCATTCTCCTCTGTGAGCATTTCCACTTTGCAGAAAGAAAGTGTAGACTATTGGAAATCGGCATAACTTCCCAAGGGGAAAAACGGACACTGGGTAAATTTTGCATAGAAATGACCAGTGACTAGGTTCTAGAAGTAAGATGTTTATAACCCAGAGTTTGGGAAGTATTTTTTGGCACACACACACACAAACTGGCCTGCTGTGCAATGCTGCCTGATAACCTGGTTGGGAAGACCGGCCACGCTGAGTGAGGGGCCGGAGGCTGGGTCAGCTGCCATGAAATCGGTCATGTGTCAGGGCTCTGTGGTCTGAGGCTCTGAGACAGTGGCTGGGAGGACTGCAGAGTCCGGTCAGCGACTGGGGCAGAGCAGCTGAGCCTCTCGTCCTGAGGTCACAGCAGCAGGGGGCAGCTGCAGCAGAAGGTGCCCGGTCCCCACAGCAACCCCTAGGCTGGAACTAAATCCTAGAATTCCAGCTTGGAAGCTCCAGTGTCCCCAGTTTACAGATAGAAACTGAACTTCCAAAGTCACAGCCACCAGGAACAGAGATTTTGCCCATTGTCCCCGACCAAAAATACAAAATAAAGGACAAAGACTGACAAATCTCTGAGAAGGTGTCATTTCAACAGGCTTTTCTCTTAGTGTCACAGTCTTTCCCCGTAACTGTAATGATTGTGGCCTGCGGATCTCCAAAGCTTACCAGTACATTTTGTCAGCTGGAGGAGTCTCTGAAGTTAATATGTAACAATAAGTAAAAATTAGACTGGGGGAGGGCAGAGATTACTTAAACCGGGTTTACATATTTATATGAATTGGCTCAATTTGGAAATGAAGTATGTTTTTCTAGTTCACTGTTATTATTGTCACTTACACTTTGTTAATAACAATAATCCTATTGTTCTAAGTGTTCCCGCCTTCCACTGGGGTTTATTCTTCACCATATGTATACATGTTCTAGCTATAATTTTCCTGCTCCTCTCTTAAATATTTTACTCCATGGAGGTAGCTGGACCTCTTAAAAATTGTCTTTAAAGGGTTTTATAATATTTAGCACGTGTAAATGACCACATGGAGGGCGCTTGCTACAGGAACTTTGCACATCAGTCATTTAACGTCTCTAATTAATCATACTTATTTTTTGAAATCTGTGTCATTCGGTGGGAACAGCACACGTGCTACCCACAGTGGAGCACACAGTGATAAACTGAGTGTTTAGACAGTCTGAAAAATACGATATGAACATTAGCTGTCTGATTTCTATTAATGAACGATTTCACAACATAAAGTGTGTATTTGTACAGTGCTTTTATGTAAAGTTTGTTTTTTGATATGTGCGAAACATTTCAGATACTCAAGTTTCGCATATCAAGGTTAAAATGGATTCTCAGGTTTTCCTCTCCCCACCCTGAGTAGTTAATTATGGTTGCACCCAATAAATGCTTCCATGGAGGACTTCTGAGCTTCCATGGGGTAACCTGGTCTATACTGATGAACATATGGTGCATGCTTTGATCGCAGAAAGAATCAGGGCCCGTCTGTGTGGAAAATGGGACATGGGAGAAAGTCAATCATGTTCCCATTCTTAGAGTTCTCTCAATACAAAGCAATTTGTGCAGATAACAGACTTCAATAAAAACTCTAGAACTTTTTTTTAACACTCAAGAAATGTTAGGTAAAATAGTATTGCAATCATTTTGCAGTTAGGACCATAGTCACCTTGCAAGCTAGAGATTTTTAAAAAATTGTTATTATGAGATATAGAATTACTACTATAGGTATATAATATTATAGGCTGGATGGATGGAGAAAAAAATCTTTTCTTCTGAAATTTACTATTCTTCTCCTATATACAACTCTTATTTGGTTAAACTGCACGTGAAGTTTAAGATAAGCTCTATTAGAGAAGAAAACAATATAATCTGCTTATTGTTTCCTTATTCCATTCCTTTTTCCCTTGGCAGCAGGCAGAGCTCTGCAGAGCAGTGTGGGAAAACCAGCACTTTACCCGTTGTTTATCCGGCAATGCCAGGCAATGTGGTAATACAGAGATGGAACAGTCCTGTACACGCACACACATGGTCTTCAGAGGTTGTCAAAGGATATTTACCATATTTTGATAGATTATGGTGACATGAAATAATTTTTCTTATCACACTTGATCTTTGTCTTATAGTATGGACAACCCTAAAATGTGGAGATCATTGAAAATCATACTTTTCATTTATTACCCAAATGAATTCATCTTTAGATTCTGCTCTCAGAGAGCAAAATTGAAAATAGGAATAATATCATATTTCAAATCCAGCTGAAAGATAGCTTTTATCATCTGCCTTATTTTATTCTGGGTAGTTTGATGATAAATAAATACTTTCAGTATATTTGGAACAGAAAATATTCTAGTGTAAATAGCATTTCATATTCATGGGACACATGAAAAGATGTTGTCAAAACCCAACTGAAAAGGGGTTTATGCTTTTATTTATTTTGTTGAGAAAATAAACAAAAGGGGTTTGTGCTCTTATTTATTTTGTTGAGAAACAATTACAGCATTTTATTTGTGGAGCTCACTATGTTTGAGTGTAACTTAAAATGAGGACTGAATATTTTGTTGTGAAATCAGGAATAGATAAATTCAAGGTTTGGATGATGTCCTTATTCTTCCCTACGCTCGCTCAGTCACTGGGACAGATGTGAGGTCCTGACCACAGATGATAGCGACTTGGTGGTAGCAGAAGTGTCATCCTTGACATTCAGGAGCCCGCAGACAGTGCAGTTACCCCCCACTGCATGGTGTTGCTTAATTCCGTTTGCCGGGGCTTCAGCTGTGGCTTTCTCCCCAGTTCCCAGTGGGAGTCGAGGCCGGTCCTGAACACTGGGTCATTTGGCCAGACTCCTGACACTATCCAGACGTGGGTCTTTTCCCCGGAAGACTGAGCATCTGACATGCTGTCACTCATCCTGACTGCCATTGTCACATCTGCCAGTGCTGCTGCCTGGTGCTGTGCACGGTCATAGCACTGCTCCAATACCGGTGCTCCCTAGAGTCAGGCCGGAGGTGGCTGCACCCCTCTAGACACTGGCAGTGGACTCTTGGCCACTGTCTTTGGATTTAGCCTTGCCAAGCTTGTCAGTTTCTCTAGCCCTGGTCTCTCCAGATCCCAACTTCCTCCTCAAACCCTGGAAATAAGTCTATGTGAGATAACACATCAATTTTGGTTTCTTTAAGAACTTATTTTCATGAAGGATGTTTCTTAAACCTTTTTTCATTCAACACTTTCTTAACTTTCTTTTTCTCAATGCAATCTCGGGTTGTTCATCACAAAAACTGAGCCTATTAAAGTTCTTTTTTACTCTTATTCATTCATCTATTACTATTTCTTCCCATTTGTGTATCTGAACAACCTTAGATAACCAGTGACATCTCACCGAATTTGATATACTGCTCGCCAGATCTAGAGTTCTTAAGTTGTGTTAGCTTATGCAGCCTAGTTAGGGAGTAAAGGTACACTTTTATTCTAGGCTTTTAAAAAATCTTTAAAACAGTCCAGGGGTGGCTGCTCACACCTATAATCCCAACATTTTGGGAGACTGAGGCGGAAGGATCACTTGAGGCCAGGAGTTTGAGACCAGCCTGGGCAACATAGTGAGACCCCACCTCTACAAATATTTTTTAAAGTACTCAAGTGTGTTAGTATGTGCCTATGGTCCTAGCTATTTGGGGGGCTGAGGTGAGAGGATTGTTTGAGCCCAGGAGTTCAAGGCTGCAGTGAGCTATGATCCCACCACTGCACTCCAGGCTGGGCAACATAACTAGATTCTGTTTCAAAACAAACAACAACAAAA